GTGTCCCTCATGTCAAGATGTTCATGCTCCTTTGGCCTCCTGCCTTAGAATAGGATGACCAGACGTCCCGATTTTATAGGGACAGTCCCAATTTTTCGGTCTTTTTCTTATATAGGCTCCTATTACCCCCCACCCCCCCATCCCGATTTTTCACACTTGCTGTCTGGTCACCCTAAGGAATCCCATTCACACCATAGGGATGCACAGCTTGTCGTGTCTGACTGCATAAAGACGCCCTCTTTGCCTGTTCCACAAATCATCTGGAATTTCCGATACCCTACTCCACAGCATGGCCCTCAGGGTGCCTATTTAAAGCGCATTCCTAGCCAGAGAAGCGATGTTTCGGCTGCCATCAGGGTGGACAATAATAACCAATATTTTACATTTACAACAGCGCCTTTCCTTCCAAAGGATTCCAAAGTGCTTTCTGAACAACCCGGCGAGATCTTGTTCCAGCCACCACTGAAATGCAGCCGTCTCTGGGTGGAAGACAGCCACATTCTAGCGATGGTAAATAAATTCCTACTCTGGTTCCACCAGATCCTCACTTCCGATCCTACCCAGTGCACAGCTAAACAGCTTGTAAGACACAACTTTCTCTCTCCAAAGAGTGCTGTGGAATCTTTAGTAACTCCAAGCGTCAGGGCTGCTTGGCTGGCAGACAATCCCCGGCCCTGTCTTGATGACATTCAGCTCAAGCTGGCTTAAAGCTCACAAGTCCAAAGATATTTCCCCCTAACAGCCAGTTCTGAACATTCCTCCAGAACGGTCACTACATTCCTGCTATCCTGCGCAGACCCCGGCCCTGCGAAGGTTTAATCACGAGCGCAGTCTCAGCCGTGCTTCTGGGCTAGTGCAGCTGCATAAGCAGCTCACCTCTCACCCAGTCTCAGTGCAGCGATTGTCGTCATACTGGAAATTCACCCGCCAGCTTCTCTCCAGATGCTCTCCAAGCCAGCTAGTGGCTAACCCTCCGAAGTGCCCATACCCAGCCCTGTGTCCCTGAGGGTGACCTGGAGTCAGGATTGCAATGATGCACCACTAGTCATTCATTAGCTCTCAGTTTGTGAGCTTGTTCTCCTGCCACTGGACTGATAGGGACGAGAGCCAGAGCGGGAGGGCAGGTCAGTCTGTCGCCTTCATGGCTGCAGGGCTGATCCTCTTGGTGGGGTCGAGCTCACTCTGTGCCTGTAATTGAATTAGCTCTGTTCTGTATCAGCTGCCAGCTCTCCTCGTCCCCTCTCCTCGCTGCCATGCTCATTACAGACGTGACTAGTCTCGGGAAGAGCCAGCGATTCTGCCCTTGTGCCGCTCACTTCACTGGCTGCGTGTCCTGGCCCCTGAAGCCTTTAACTAGCCCAGTGGCCTCTGCTGTAGCTGTGACCAGTCATGCCACATGAGCCTGCCTGAAACTGGAAGGGGAGACCAGTCTGCCTTGAGTTTAATGGCAGCCCAGAGCCTCACTGAATGGCAGCCAACGTGGTACTTAGGATCTGTAGTCTATGCCTGGTCAACATATATCCAGCTTCCATTTGTAAGGCTCCTGTGCACCAGTGCTCTGGCCTTCTTGGGCACCCATCCTAGCTCTGGGCAATGCATCAGTGCCATGGCCTTACTGGGCACCCATCCTAGCACCGGGCAGTGCACCAGTGCCATGGCCTTACTGGGCATCTGTCCTCGCACTGGGCAGTGTACCTGCCTCCTGGTTTGACTGGTGCTGTCTGGCTGGGCACCCTCGCTCACAGGAAACATTGTCAGAAGGCTGAGAGAAGGATGTCCCTTCCTAGCGTCCCAGTGTGGTTCCCCCTTGCCAGCAGATCCCATCAGATTCTTTACACTGTCACTTTCCGTGTCCTGAATAGTCACCGAGATCTGCTGATAGGGAACTCGATCCCAGAGCAAGGGAGCATGCACGGAAAGAGGCCCTGGGAATGCATCCCCAATTGCACCGAGAGATGCCACCTAGGGGCTGCCCGTAGCACTTCTGAGCCTGGCACTTCCAAGGCCCCAGGGTTCTGGGACGTTCACGCTTTGTGGCTCCTCCATCCCCTCATTCACTCAGGATCACCAGCCCCGCTTCTCTAGCAGCTGCACCATACAGGCCGCATGCAGCTCCTCTTGCCAGCCTTGCATCTGGTTTATTTCGGGAGACACTCGGGAGAGTACAATATCCATCAGCTCCCTGTCAAGCCCTGACAGGCCTCCATTTGGCTTGCTCTGTGTGCCGGAGGCCTCCAGCCTGGCTTGATGGGTTGCTGCCGCAGGGAGCCGTTCTGCAGGGCCCGGCCAATCAGCGAAGGAGCTGCCGCATCAGTAGGCACGATCCATTACCAGACTGGCCCATGGAGCCCCTCCTTCGCCCTGCTCTCCTCCCACCGGGAGACATCACGAGGACCTTGCCAATATCTCATGCAGCGTCTCCTGTGGGGAGTTTCTTGCACAGGGACGTGCTGCAATCATAGGATTAGCAGCCTGTTGATTTAAAGGGCTTATTACAGGAGCTTAATTTTATTTTGACAGATGAAAGTAAGTCAATTACAGCTGGAAATAGCTCAAGGTTTGGGCTATATTTTGTGCTTCCTGTGTCCTGTAGGATCCTTCCCCCACTTCCTTGGATAGTGACTCTCCTGCCTGAGAGTCCTCTGACCCAAAGGAAACCACCACCCTGCCAAGGGAAAACAGGTATTAATTTTGAGCCCAATTTCTGGTTCGTCCAGACAACAGGATCCCCCTCTCCGTGTTGTCGGGCCAAAGGGCCCCTCGGAGGCTGCTGTCTGCTCAGGTGGCCGTGCTCTGAGTCAGACACTTGTGCAAACGTGTGCTCAATAGTCCTTTGGGTTTGTTTCTGCTGAAAACCAGCCCCTGCTCCCTTCACATACACACCGGCCCTCAGGTGTGTTCCCAGGAGCTGCCCTGAGTGTACACTTGGTGGTGACCGTTCTGCCCCGCCCAGGCTGGGATAAGGCTCTACACAGCGCAGATCAATGGATCAAATGTACAGAAACTGACAACAACGCTCTGGGAGGAAAAACAACGTTCGTGGGGGAGGCAAAGCCACAAAGCGGCAGTGGGAGGGGAGTGCACGTGCAGACAGGTGTGTGCACAATTCACATCCCAGGGGAAAAACACCTCTGCAAGGAAGGGGTTGCTGCTGACCCCCCTTCAGAGAGCAAAGCTTGAATCATCTCTAATAGTCCAAGCTGACAGATCATGGCTCAGCTGCCCATTACCCTGTGGATTCTCCTTTTCTCCCTCTTTGGTTTACATGGACACCTCAACCCTGCATTAATAAACCCCTTTCTCTTGGTGCCTAAACCACTACTCATCTGACCTGAACAACACATACATCTCACGGCTAACCCCCACTCACCTGAGGCTCCGCTGTCAAAGTGGGCATCACCTTCTCCTCCATTCCATTCCATCCATCCATCCATCCATCCATCCATCCATCCATCCATCATTAAGCTAATCTATACACCTGGCCCTCAGCACCGGAGCACCTTGTACAAACGACGCGACTGACCACCTCCAGCCTTTTCTTTGGCTTCCTCTGCCAGAGCAGTAGGATCAACGCCAAGTCCACACAACAGTGCTGAATTTCATAGCCGTGCCAACGACCGACCACCCCGTCCCAGCCTGCAGGACAATTACCAATTCCTCAGCGTTGCCACAACCTGACGATGTTGCATCTCCATGCAGTGTTACAATGGTAGACGAGGACAGTCCTCAGCTGTTACGCCAGCTCCCTCCTGGTTCTGTGAAGAAGAAAGCCAGTTCTAGGGAAGTTCTTGTTTATCTCCTGTGAGCCTGTGATCTCAGGAGGCTTTAGTAGAAGCCCTCAGACTTTCAACTTCAGTTTTGGATCTGATGCAATTAAAACAGGGAGCAGAAGAACTTCATCGCATCCTCACCACTCTTAAGCCTGCAGTGTTTCCAGGGGGAGGAGGATGTAATAGAGAGAGTCAGAAATAAAAGGGGAGAAGGATTCTGTATTGTTAACCCTGGGGAGAAGAACCAGACTGACAGCCTGCGAGTCTCTCTAGTCACAGAGAAGGTAGACCAGAAGCTCCCCTCACCTAGACGTAACCCCCTGAGGCGTAAAAGGAAGTTAAAGCCCATAAAGCTAGTCTCAAGCAATGAAGTTGCCACTTACGGTGATGGGGTTTTATGAGGTGAATGCATACCCACCAAGAAGGGGGCTGAAACCACCAAAGTCATTTCACACGGGCTACTCTGGAACAGCCATCAGATGGTAGCAACTTTCCTTCATTCCTGACCCAGGCTAGATTGGAATCAATGAAAGGCTTTATAGCCCATTCCCAATCTCCTGATCCAACTAGCTCCGCAAGGACCATGCCTGTGACTGAGACAGAAGAATGGGGAAGGAGCAAGAAGATTAATCACTAGCTAAGCTGACCACAGCACAAATTCCTCACAGGGAAACAACAAATACGCCAGTCAAACTGCAGGTCTGAAAGTTACGCTGATCGGAAATCCAAGCCTAGAGCCAACAAAGCATTCACAGCCTGAGGGACCAGGGACACGGTGTAAGGTTTGCTATCACCCCAAATTCCAGGGCTATACACAAACACTTCCTGCAATGGGACCAGAGCTGGGAGCCTCAGCTTGCAAATGATCTAAAGCGAGGGTTCTCCATCTCTGGTCTATGGACCATCCATTGCACACCCAGCCCTTCCTGGTGGTCTGCAGAATGAAACACCGGGAGACTTGTAGTGGGTTTGGCTCAAGCCAGCTCCAGCACAAAGCATCTCACTCGAGAGGTTCATGAGATACCCGCTACTAAAACAATATCAGGAACATTCTGCTTTGTTGGGCCTGCAGCCCATCTGTGTCCAACTGCCAAAAACTGGTAGTAGATTAGCCAAAAACACCCCACAGGTCCCCATAACCCATCCTTGTCACTGAGAAGCGCCTGCCTAGTCCCCAGCGCAGTGTCCCGGCCCAGCAAGAGGGATGGGGAGCCAGGCAGGAATTCTCACCCTCGGACGGCGTGCAGCAGGCGCAGTGAGGGGTAGGCGGTGCGAACGTTGACGCGGTGCTTGAGGATGAGCTCGTTGACCCACTCCACGCGCTCCTTGCCCCCTTTGGCCATGAATGCCGGGATCCAGAGGATGCTGCCATTCAGGCTGTGAAGGCGCTGTAGCAGCTTCTCCCGCCAGGTCTCGTTCACCAGGTCCTCGAAGGCCCGCTGGATGACAGACGGATTCATAGTCACAAGGTCCGTCTTCATCCCCACGTCCCAGGCATAGTCCTGGACTGGGGCCAGATTACACCTGCAACACAGGAGAGAGCATCACAGGGTGCTCCAGGGAAGGGGAAGGACACACATTAGTCGGTGAATGTTAGCACTGGGGAAAGGTGCCTGATTGCCAGGCCTGGGGCTGCACAGCTATGGCACAGGCAATGCCAGGGCAAGCTCCCTTGCAACGCCCCGTGGCAGCGTGCTGCCATCCTGCCCCAGAAGGACGAAAGTGGAGCTCCGTCAGCCTTTGCCCTCTCTTCGCAGCGACCACCAGCAGAGGGGCCAAACAGCGTGGTGGTGACGCGGCAGCCTCGGGTGGTGGCGGAACACAGTTCTAGGGACCAGGAATGCCTCACTTTGACTCCTGGCTCTGCCACTGACTTCCTGTGTGACCCTGGGCAAATCCCGTAGACGGTGTCCCCTGCCTGAACGTCGGGATAGCAACCCCAGAGGGATGTTATGAGGATTGCTTAATGTTTTATAAAGAGCAGGGGAATGTTAATGTGATGAGGACACCTGCCTATTGGCGGAGTCTGTTCAGCGAGCTACATGAAATGCCTTTCAGTCACTACAACCCCAGGTCAGACTCATAGCAGATACTTTGAGGAAAGACCTTCTGCATCCCATTACCAATTCCCTAGAACATGACCTATCAAGAGCCTGCTAGGAATATTAGTGACTAACTAATGGCCCCTGGGCACCTAACTATGTTGCGAATGTGACTTCAGAGCACACAGTACTAGAATGTTACAGTAGCTATTCAGGTCAAGGCGATGGTTTTAATACAGAAAAAAACACTATGATCAGAACAAACTCAGAAAGTGTGTGTGTACCAGGCCAGAATGTGGGGCGTGTGTCTGCCTGCATGTATGCGTCTGTGTGCATGGGTCTATGTATGCACGCACGTTTGCACAGCTGGGTGAACGGCTACATCTGTGCATATACAGGCCTACATTGGCTTTTGAATGTGCGAATGTGTGTGTGAGTATGTCCGTCAGTTTGCATGCGTGTCTCTGCGTGGATGTTCAGAAATGTCCCAGGGCATGAATTTTTGGTACACATGTATGCTTGTACCGACATGTATCTGTACATGTGCACAGTTAACAAACACAAGGTAACAAAATACCTATGGTTACTGCTATGACAAATTTGAATCAAAGTGATTCTTCCAGCGCCGGGAAACCCGCTCTGCAATAGAGGTCTTGTGTGTCTCATTGTACCAGTATCACAACAGCCGGTTCTGACTGTCAAGTGGTGTGAGGGGCACAGAGTCCACTGTTACCTCTCATGATGGTATGTGCACCAGGGGGAAGGGGAGACACACAAAGCCTGAAGCTTGCAGGAGCAGCACCCATGGGGGGGAGAGAAGAGCTGGTCGTGTAGCCTCAGGAAAGCCGCAATGGCTGAGGAGCAGAGTGGGCCAAGGCTGGCTCTTTCCAGTGAGCCCTCCTGCTGGAGCAGAACCTGACCGAAAACAGAGGGTGCACCAGGGGGCTGGGCATGCTTGTGAGTGTGTGCATTGAGACACCCATCTCTAGTGACTCGGCAAGTCTCGCCAAGGAACTTACCGCACCGGAGCATGCAGAGAGCTGCTCTAATTGGAAGGGCTAGTGATATCCTGTGAGAGAGTTTCCGTCTCGCCCGGAATGACAGTGTGACACCTGCGGTCCTTAAGTCTAGCCTGGCTGGAGTAATATTATCCCGAGTCCCTTCTTCCCTGCCCGGCAACTGTGTGTTAAACAGCAGACCCCACAGTACCAGCAATGATAGCGATATCAGCAGGAGGTGGAAGCCAGGGATATCTGCGATTGTGGGTTCCAGAGGGCCAGCCTGCTTATGGGCTGCGACCTTGGGAAACCTTTGTGCAATGCAAGAATGGGACGCATGCACGTGCGCACACACAAAAGGAATTCACTCCTGGTGCTCTGGAAACTCCTCACACTCACTCTGTCTGTGATTCCAGCCCATGTGCAAAGGCATGGAAAGCCGTGAGGCACTGTGACTGAGGGCTGCATTTGCATTGAGCTGGGACAAGATCACCCCCTTTCCCTGTTGCTCCTGATGGTGGAATCCAAGTCACTTATTTCTGTCGCTTTGGGTGTTGGACAGATGACTCTACTGACCTATACTGTGCACCAGAGCCTGGTGCTGGCAGAATGGAGTGTATGAGCAGCTGATGTGGCCTCACAGGGCCCTGAAAGGTTGCTATGCTTCTGACAATGTGCCGAAAACCCCAGAGCACCCCTACGCTGCCTATCACATGCATTTCTGTCTGCCTGTCAACTGAAGGTCTCAAAGCACGTACTGAACATAGATGAATTAATCCTCCCAACTATCCCTACAGCACATCATTATCATTATCCCCATTTTACAGAGGGGGAAACTGAGGCACGGATAGATTAAGTGAAAGCAGAAAGCCTGCAAGGAATGGAAGCTGGCAGGGATCAGCAAGGAATGCTATCTTTTGGAGGTCAGACGGTGTAGGGATAAAGTGAGAACTGCCAAAAGCCAAGCAGAGTTGGATCTTGCAAAGGGAATTAAAACCAACAGTAAAGAATTCTATAGCCATATCAATAAGAAGAAAGCAAGGAAAGAAGAAGTGGGACCACTAAACCCTGAGGATGGGGTGGAGATTAAGGATTATCTAGGCATGGCCCAACACCTAAACAAATACTTTGCCTCAGTTTTTAACGAAGCTAATGAAGAACTTAGGGGTAGTGGCAGGGTAGCTAATGGCAACGAAGATATAGAGGTAGAAATTACCACATCCGAGGTGGAAGTCAAACTCAAACAGCTCAATGGGACTAAATTGGGGGTGGGGAGGCAGATAATCTCCATCCTAGAATATTAAAGGAACTGGCACATGAAATTGCAAGCCAAGTAGCATGGATTTTTAATGAAGCTGTAAACACGGCGGTTGTACCCTATGCCTGGAGAATTGCTAATATAGTTCCTATTTTTAAGAAAGGGGAAAAAAGTGATCAAGGAAACCACAGGCCTGTTAATTTGACCTCAATTGTATGCAAGGTCTTGGAACAAATTTTGAAAGAGAAAGTAGTTAAGGACATAGAGGTGCACGGTAACTGGGATAAAATACAACATGGTTTTACAAAAGGTAGATCATGCCAGACCAACCTGATCTCCTTCTTTGAGAAGATTGATATTTTTGGACAAAGGAAATGCAGTACATCTAATCTACTTGGATTTCAGTAAGGCATTTGATACAGTTCCACATGGAAAATTAGTTAAATTGGAGAAGATGGGGATTACTATGAGAATTGAAAGGTGGATAAAGAATTGGTTAAAGGGGAGACTACAACAGGTTGACTTGAAAGGTGAACTGTCTGGCTGGAGAGAGGTTACTAGTGGAGTTCCTGAGGGATGGGTCTTGGGACCAGTCTTATTTAACATTTTTATTACTGACCTTGGCACATAAAGTTGGAGTGTGCTAATAAAATTTGCGCATGACACAAAGTTGGGAGATATTGCCAGTACGGAAGAGGACCGGAATATCATACAAGAAGATCTGAATGACCTTGTAAACTAGAGTAATAGAAATGGGATGAAATTTAATAGTGCAAAGTGCAAGGTCATGCATTTAGGGATTAACAACAAGAATTTTACTATAACCTAGGGACTTATCAGTTGGGAGTGACAGAGGAGGAGAAAGACCTGGGTGTATTGATTGATCACAGGATGACTATGAGCTGTCAATGTGATGTGGCCGTGAAAAAGGCTATATAGTCCTAGGATGCATCAGGTGAAGTATTTCCAGAAGAGATAGTGAAATGTTAGTACCATTATCCAAGGCATTGGTGAGACCTCATCTGGAATACTGTGTGCAATTCTAATCTATGTTTAAGAAAGATGAATTCAAACTGGAACAGGTGCAGAGAAGGGCTACTAGGATGATCTGAGGAATTGGAAACCTACCTTATGAAAGGAGACTCAATGAGCTTGTCTTGTTTAGCCTAACCAAAAGGAGGCTGAGGGGAGAAATTATTGCTCTCTATAAATATATCAGCAGGATAAATACAAGGAAGGGAGAGGAGTTATTTAAGTTAAGTGCCAATGTGGACACAAGAACAAATACTTATAAACTGGCCGTCAACAAGTTTAGGCCTGAAAGGGGGAAAGGGCCTGTTAGGGGAAGGTTTGTAACCGTCAGAGGAGTGAAGTTCTGGAACAGGTTTCCAAGGGGAGCAGTGGGGCAAAAAACCTAACTGGCTTCAAGAATGAGCTTGATAAATTCATGGAGAGACTGGAATGATGGAACTGCCTACAATGGCATGTGTCCCATCAGCAACTACCAGTAGCAAAAATCCCCAATGGCTGAAGACAGGACACTAGATGGGGAGGGCTCTGAGTTACTACAGAGAATTCTTTCCCAGGTATCTGCCTGGTGGGTCTTACCCACGTGCTCCCTGTCTAACTGATCACCAGATTTGGGCTTGGTAAGGAATTTCTCCCTTGGTCAGATTGGCAGAGACCCTGTGTTTTTGTTGCTTTCCTCTGCAGCATGGGGTACAAGTCACTTCCAGTTTAAACTAGTGTAAGTGGTGAATTCTCTGTAACTTAAGGTTTTTAAACCATAATTTGAGGACTGCACTAACTCAGCCAGAGGTTGGGGTCTATTACAGGAGTAGGTGAGTGAGGTTCTGTGGCCTGCAATGTGCAGGAGGTCAGACTAGATGATCACAATGGTCCTTTCTGACCTTAAAGTCTATCAGTCTAAGTGACTTACTCAAGGGTACGCATAGTGAGAAATAGGATACAAGGGTCCTGATTCCTAGGTCCTTGCTCTAATCGTTAGGACATGCTGCCTTAATGGCTAATAAACTCAAAGGAAATACAGGGACTGAAAGCCAAAGACATGGCAATCTGTGTGCCCAGGAATGCAGGAGCCAGCTCTCCTTGTCACCATCTCTGCTGACGCCTAGTCTACATTGAAAACGGCTGGCTGGCATGGTTATGCCGGTTTAGTTGTACCGGCAAACCCTCCTAGTGTACATTCAGTTTGTTCCAGCGAAAAGAGCTTTTGCCAGTAGAGTTTATTCTGGTTCCCTGAGCAAAATAAGTTATACGGCAAAAGCACTTTTATGTAACTGCGTCTACACTAGGACTTTAGTCATAGAAATGTTGCAAAAAAATCACCCCATCAGTCAACCTTACTATACTTGTTCCTAGTGTAGACTTTGCCTAGGACAGTTGTCACCGTCACTGCCATAAGACCACTGGCCTAACCCTTACTGTGACCACGACGGCCTTTGTTTTCTAGGCTGGCTTTTGTTTCATTTCAAGCTGCAAGCAAACTACCCGGGGACCATTCCCCAAAGATCAGAGAGAGGCCCTGGGTTCCACTCTGACCCACAGAAAGGTTGGGTTGGCTGTGTTCATCCAGAGGGCAGAGGTGGCATTATCTTCATTCCCACGCCTTTATAAGCCACTGACAGATTGGGCTGTCTCCATAATAGACTTGCCAGAAAGCAAATGTCTGCACAGACATAAATCACCAGCAGACATGCACAGCTCCTCAGCTAACACATCTGCATAGGCTTGAGGGATAAAGAGGCAGGATCTTTTCCTTCTCTCTCTTTGCTACTGCAGGTATTATTTTGACAATTTAGTGTGTGTGTGAGAGAGGCGAGGGTATGGTAAATGTTTGGCTTGTGTAGGGATGGTATGAGTTTCTGGAGGGGCAGAGGGAGTGGTACATCTGTGTGCGCATGGTAGCTTGTGTATGTGTGAGTGTGTTTATGCGTAAGAACAGAGTGTGTATTGGGGTGGGAGTGATGCATGTGAGGGAGGATTGAGTTGAGGTGTCTGTGGAGAGTGTGAAGGTGACAGCTGGAGAAGGTAGAGGGTGTTTGTATAGGAATTATGTATGTGTCTGTAGGGGTGTGTAGGATAGGGTTTGCTTGCATCCAGGCGGTTTGGCTGGGGTGTGTGTCATCAGTGCTCTGCCAAGGTGTGGGGGCAGAGCGTGTTGTGGGAAGAGAGTGGTGTATATGAGAAGATGTGTGGGTTTGTAGGGTGGCCGGGGCACAGTGTGTGTAGGGTGTGAGTGGTGGGTGTGTGAGAAGGACGTGTGTGTCTGTGGGGGTATGGGAGGGTGATGGTGGAGGTGTTCATGACTTGAAGGGCGTTTATGTGGATGGAGTGTGTGTGTGACAGTGCGTGCTTGTGGAGTGCGTCAGGTTGTGGCGGGCAGGCTTGTGATGTTGTGCAAGGCCCCCTTCTGAAATACTCTGGGTACATCACAGCTCTGGCTCCTTTGCCGACTGTTTCCAGCTCTTTGAACTCATATTAAACACTCCCCGTTGGATTTTGTTCAGTGCCCATCCTTCCCGTCCTGACAAGGGGGCTCCCTGCACTCCTTAGGGCACACCGTAGAAAGGGGAAGCGAGGGTGGAGGAGCGGGGGCCGGAATACGCAGCACTCTGTCAGTCCCCCAGTGACAGGAAAGGCTCTGGCCCAGTTGCCTGGCTTGGAGCCTGGGGGTCCCATCCCTGGATCCCTGTGTGTTTTGTGGGAGGGAGTAGGAGCCCTGCTGTATGGGAGGCTTGGCCTCTCTGACCCCTCACTACCTGATTACGAAGCTGTGAGCATCGATTTCTCTCCCGCAGCCACTGTTCAGCAGGATCCCTGAGTTGCCCACGATGGCGCAGGTCCGGAAGTGCTTGCCCTTCAGGGGCGAGGTCCTTGGCAGCAGCTCATAGAGGTTCTGTGAGACATTCATGGTGCTGTCCCGGTCAAAGACGTAGTGGATGACGTCCCCGGGCTTCAGGGTCCCCTTCAGCACCGAGATGTCTTTCTCCGCATCCAGGAACTTCAAGATCTGTTTCCTTGGGAAAGGAAATAAAACAGATATAGGGAAAGCTTGCAGCACGGCCTATGACTGCAAAGCTCCCTCCTCCTGCCTGTTTATGCTCCACAGCCTGGCTGCAGAGAGACTGACAGCCTTCAGGAGCAACTCAGACTTTGGCACCTTTTCCCACCTGCTACCGCATGAGTGCTATAAAATGGTGCCCCATCTTAATGTCTGCATCTCCCATGTCCCCCTTTCCATTGGAGGAGGTCCTTCACAAGCCCATCACTGCCGGTCTCCTCTCCGCCAGCAGGGGTCACTGTATTTATGCACAAGGTGGCAGATTTCCTTCCCCCCATGAGTGGCTGATCATGGTGAATCTGCAGCGCTCTCTGGCCTCTGCTTGTCTCCAAGAGCAGAGGCTCAAGCGTGTGTTGCTCTGTTAACGCGACGTGGCTGAGCTGGGAATTCGTTTCCAAGTGATCGCTTACAGGTATGAAGGCTAGCCCAGCAGGAGATAAACATTTTATTTCTTTCTTGACTTCTTTAGATGATATACAGAGGCAATTTGCCAGCTTGCACTGGGGAGGACCAAATCTGTCTCTTGTCCTATAGGTAATTACCAGTACCTGATCTTCAAAGAGAGTGTCTGGTTGTGTCTCCATCGGAATGAAGCTGGTTTAATGTGCTTAATGCTTTCATTACTTCTGTCAACAACAGCTGGAGATGAAGAGCCATTTATTACTACTTCAGCTCTAGAGAAAAGAGAGACAGAGAGAGGGGGAGAGACATGATCCGTTAGCTTCCCAATGGCATCTCTAATCGCTCTGAGGTGGCTGGGATTCAAACTTCTGTAGAAAAGCAAAATTGCGGTTATTACCTGAGCAGGGAAGGAAAGCCTATTTATTCTCTACTACACACGCACACACAAACACAGACACAAACTCAGACACAGACTTACACAAATACACACAGATTTACAGACAGACACACAAACACAGACAGACTGATACACACACAGACTCAACAGGCAGACACACAGATATACAGGCTCTCACACAAACAAAAAACACACAGAGATTCTCAGAGAGACTTAGACAGACACAGGCACGGATTCACACGCGGAGATTCTATACACAGACAGCAAACACAGTCAGGCTTACAGATGATGACACAACCAGATACACATCCACCCACACGCATGCCCGTCTCACAAATGACAAATCAGATCCACCCCTTGTGGTGAGTTAAATTCACATCAGAAAAACGTGCTCTTTACTTCACCCCAGCAAGAGAAATGAATTTAGCTGAGATGCTGGGGATCGGTACTACTGGCAAATGCCCCATTACAAACAGCAGGGCTCTTTGATAACTTTTGTTCCCTTCAGAGGAGAACAATGACATGGCATCATGGCAATTCATGGCATCTACTTTGTGCTAGGGCACCAGACCCTGGCAAATGACTGGTCGGGGAGGGCCAGAGAGCAGTCAGGTACCCAGGTGTTGCAGCTCTGGAGATGATCATTGTGAGACCCCAAATTTAATCACTGAATCAGCAAAACAATCAAGGCCCCAACATTTCAATTCAATTTGCATCAAGTGGCATAAATGATGGGAACCGCTGCATGCTTTATGTCTGCGAACCTCCCTCCAAAAAGAATAACCGAGAGGCTTCTCAGGAAGCAGAGCATGTGTGTGCAGCCCAGAAAAACCCTTCACACTCCAGAGTACACTGAAAAATTCACAGCCAGAGTGTTTGCTGCCAGCTAAGCAGAATGTCCCTCCTCATTGCAAGAGGCCACTCTCAGCAGGGAGAGAGTTGGCAAATAAAGAGATTTACACCAGGCAGATAAACACCCCAGAGAGAGAGGAATTACCTCTAGAGAGCACCTCTAGGAGACATGGGGTGAGAGTAGAAAGGGATGCTTTTGAATGTACCATGTAAAACTGTCCTGACAGTGAGCTACGGCTGCTGTGGGCATCATGACATAAGGCTGTGTCCATTCACAATGGTGCAATGTGTGGTACAGCAGTGCCGTGTTGATTCCATTCCTCCTGGAATGATGGCTGCTCTCCGTGGGCCACCTTGGCAATTCACTGCCAGTTGAGAGGAGGCTTGTTTGCTTCAGGTACAGATGGGGAATGATTGACGGGAGATCTCAGGCACATGTGAGGATATTTTGGGACTCCTGCTACTTAATATTTAGGGAGGCAAGCTGAATATATTTCTAGATGCTAGTTGTCACTGTGTGTGTATATACAAAATAGCAAAGTATGATCTGCGGAGACTGCCAACAAGGCTAGCTATCAATCTTGCACTTCACCACATAATCTGATCTCCTGCAAGGCAAATGTAGAAAATGCAAAAAATGCCAAAGTTAACTGAGTGGAGAAAACCTTCCTAGCAATAACTGATTTTTTTTTGTGCTTGATGCTTTTCGTATTTTGATGAAGTGTGTGGCATGCAGTGCGATGACACCCAAGCTACCCAATTATAGCACATAACAATATTGTGATGACATGGGATGATCTTGCAAATGACCTAGAAGGCACTGAATGCCTGTAATGTCACAGAATGACTTTGTGATGGAGTGATGTCTCCGTGTCATTGAGTGCCATTATGATGCAACAGAATGACAGTCTGATGTCATAGAAAGAAATCCCTTTTGTAATACCATGGTGGAAAATTGCAAAGGTGGCAACTTTCCCGCTGACTTATTCTGTACAATAAGTAACTCTCTTCCATATTCTCAATCACTGCAACTTGCAGATCCTTGGTCATTTGCAAATAATTATTGCATTGAATAGAGGGGGGAGAATGATTAAGAAATGTAAAGCAGAAGGGAAAAGAAACAGATACATTTGCTAAATAGGAAGAGTACCATGCAGCAAAGAAGAAGAAGAAGAAGAAGATTAATAGCTGCCTTAGAGCAAAAACAAATGAACACAAAATCTAATTTACAAACCTATTAGATTTGCTATGTAAGCTGTTCACAGCTGATCTGATTGTACCTCTGCCTCCAGAATTCCTGCAAGACAAAGGAAATGCATTATTTATAAACCCAGCTCCTCTTTGCAAAGCATTGTTCAACAATCAAGAGATCCTCAAAGCTGCTACAACACTCACACTTCACACCATCCAAAATGGCAACATCTAGGGGCGCTTGGGGAGGGGTTCTCATGCCCTTCTTCAAAGTGGTGCCTCATTGTGACTAAACCAAAAGTGGGGAGCAACCCTCTTCTGGTAGTCCAAAGAATCAGTTAAAAGTCATGTGCATTAACCACTTCAGAGTGCCATAGGCTTCAAATAAAGGGCCTGATCCTCTCACTCTGACAAGCTGCACGTGGAGCAAGACGGGGATGGGCAGCACAGGATCTTTAAACCACCTTTATGCTACCCTGATCCTAAGGTAGGCCACGGGTCAGTCCAGCCCAGTTCCCAGCATGCCCCTCTAACTTACGCTTGACTGGCCCAATGTGGCAGCTGCGGATCAGAGGGGAGCAAGGATTCCCTAGCCACACCCTTTTTCACCTGGCCATGCTCATATAACAGTGACTAGAAGTGAGAGTCACATAGGAGCTAAATTTCCAGCCAATGGTCATATGTAGTAACAAAAAATCTCCAGATGGGCTGGAATCCCAGACCCAAACAGCTTCATAGAGAGGAAATTTGGATCCGAATCCTGATCTGAATATCATGGTTTGGGCCAGTCTCCAAATAGAAGTGTGTGTCTGTAGATGCCCCTTTCACCGGAGGATTTCATAGTACTTCATGTTAGTCCAGTTTTACAGGTGGGATCCAGAGGCTGAGAACGTACACTGGAGTCCTCTTTTTCCTCAGTCCCCATCCCATCCTGTCCTGTCCCTAGAATGTTGTCAGCATGGGCGAGGGGAAGGACTAGTTTAATGGAGGAGGGTGCTTTTTTGGTTGTTTGTTTCTGTGGGTTCATACTCTGAGTTTCAAACTAACATCAAAACAGCCCAGAGCGCTAGGTTTTTGCATGGTGTCTGCCACTGCCACAAATAATTCACAAAAATAGCTTTGATGCCCCTGATGGATGACCATCCCATGGCAATGGATACAGGCCGAATCTCAGCCTTTGACAGTGGATCCCAAGGGCCCACTGACTCATTTACAAGCCCTGGCTGGGGTGGACAGCATGGCTCCAACCTGGTCCTGATCATTTCTCTCCAGCAGATTCCAGTTGAGTGATGAGTAACTGCTCTTTATCCTCCGCAGCCCTCAGAGGCTAAGTGCCTCAGTGGTCAGCCCTGGCCCCCATCCTTTACAATGTACAGAAGAGCACTTCAGCAGAAATGGTCAGATTCCATGGCCTGCTCTGCTGCCAGCATGTTGACTAGACCCCTGGCTAGATTACACCTCCCATCATGCACCTACAATGTGCCACACAGCTTAGTCAGAGGGAGGACTGCACTGCATCATGGAAGCTGTAGTCTGGCCAGAGAGCCCAGCCCACTGGACAGAATGGTGTTATCAAGCAATGCAAATTTCAGCTCCCATGAGGCACCATGCCACAATAGAGAAATGCAGTTTAATGTTAAACTGACTCAAAATAAATGTTTTGGGTCAGTACAACAATCCAAAATATTACATTACCATTCAAACTGACCTGAAAGGAAATATGTCATGTCAGTTTTCCCAATCCGAAAATCAAAAATTTTCAGCAAAATCAAAATTTGTCCCCAGAAAATTCTGATTTTTCCAAAACTCCATTTTCCATCAGAAAAATTCCCAACCAGCTCTATTAATAATAACCTCACCCACCATCACAGGTGTCTGGCTCCCAGATCATCAAAGCTGTGCACAGCCTAAGGGTCACACTAAATACATCTCTGCTTCTCAAGAACTAGGTAGCAGCGGTGGCTAGGAATGCCTTCCTCTATCTCCAGGTCGCCAGGAGACTTCACGCTTCCCTCTCCGAAGAGGACGTGGCTAACAAGATCCACTTCTAGACTTGACTTCTGCAACTGCTTTTATCTTGTGCTGTCAGTTAAAGCCAACCAAAAATCTCCATCCTGTCCAACAGACAGCAGCCCACCTCCTGGGCGAGTCACGGAGAACACATCACACCAGTACAGTCTCCACTGGCTTCCTGTGCCCAAGGCTGGCTCCAATTCAAGGTCCTGGTATTAGTCTATGAAAACCTTCAGGTCAGACTGTGGTACCTTACCACAAATAGTCTCAATGAAATCATGGGGACTGTTTGGTACAGCCTATTATGGGCTGGACTAGATTACCCAAATTAAGCCTTGTCAGTCACAATCCTGAGACCACTGCACTCACCAGAGACACAGAAACTAGAACTTCCCAAAGTCAGACTCTTGGGAGCCGGAGATAAGACATTTCTCGTGCTGGCTCCTAGGCGAATGCAACATTCTACCAGGGGAGAGGGGGAAAAAACAGGACAAGTGTCCAATCTGCTGACTGCCGAGCTCACTCCTTCTTTAGCCTGGCATTCTCAGGGAATTGGCCCCCAGTTCCTACTGATGCTCAACAGGAGTTGGGCATGTAACTCTCTTAGACCTATTGCAAAATAACAGCTTTACATCTTTTGTCCTTAGTTTTCTGTGCCCATGGCCTAGGTACTAGATGATTGTGCTCTATAAGTACTAAAGCTGCTCAAAAGATTTGTTTGAAATGTTCAGCTTTTCAACTGGACATTTTTTTTTAATGAAAAATTCCCTTGCGGGCCTCTTTTCTCCCACAGCCCAGCTGCACCAGTCCCAAGGGGATAAGCAACAGAAAAGAAAAGTGTACTGTACCTCCAGAAATAATTTAAGTTGGGAGTGAAAACTCTGGGAACTGAGAGACAGGTTCCTTGTTTTATCTGAGCTGGATCCTTACCCCCTCTTAATATCAAATCCTCTGAGCAGCTCACCTGGGACATGTTGCTTTGGAGCATGCCACCATATGCAGTTTCCTGCTTCCCATAGGACACTGTATATTATCAGACTGGAGGGATCCCTCCTGTAACAGCTTTTTCATTCCTTTGACAAGTCTGAGAATCAACTGCTATTTCATCTCGTCAAGGGGTTGGCAGGGCTGATTCATTCAGAGAGCATTTATCAAGCATCCATTTTAATAGGGTTCATCGCAGGGTGTGAGAGCAGTCTAGATTAGTGTGCAATCTGTGCATTCTTTTCAAACACTTGTCCTTTGAAGAAACCGCCCAAATGGGATTCACGCTCCCTCACATTCTCTGTAATACAGATAGGAACTGGATTAAGGGCTTAGAAAGGGAAACGAATAAATGGTTGCCCAAAATCTCTGCAACACACAGGAAAGGGGAATCCTGAGAAATTAGGAGAGGGAGAAGACCCTTGTGGCTGCGGCTGTGTCAAGCTGAGAAGATGGTTAATCAGTGGGAATGATGTCAGTGGAAGAACCCAGCTCCCTAAGGACAAAGCTGTATTGACCCTACAGTCATGTGACAAGAGGGAATGTAAAATGTGATCCATGGCAGATGATCACCCCGAGCCACTTGTGCAGAGTTCTATTTCCAGTGCTCGCTGGTTAATAACCTAATAGGAGAATAACTTCAGGAGAAAACAAACAATGGTTCTGCCTGTAAATATTTCTTGTACTTGCTTTCCCCTTTTTCTCATCAGCGTTTGTCAAGTTTTTCTCCCGAGGGTGGATTTAAAGCTCATAGTCTGGAGGGTATGTGAATGCCAGTCATCCAAGCCCATCCGGGGTTGGAGAGGTATCCTCCCATTTACATCTCTAGCCTGAGGGTATCTAAACCAGTTCTGGTGACTGCTCTCACATAAGGGAATCGCAGAAGAACTCAATGCCCTATGTCTCCAACCTGGTGGCATCTCAAATGAGGGACAAGGTGTGGCCTGATGGAAGGAGTTCAGGCAAACGTTTCATTTCCCCAGCTGAAACATGCAGCAGATACCCAACTTGAGGACATCTGCAATGCTAGTCATGGTCACTGCAGCAGGCACACAGCTGGCATAAAGGATTCTGGGTGGCACTCTCTTGAACTAGGCGGGCAGCTGAAATGCTGCCCAGGGTGACTGCGCCAGGCCCTGAGCTGATTTCATTTATTCTTCACCATCACCTGAAGCCTCAGGTGTTGACCACTGGTTTGGCATGACATCAGGCTTGATGGATCAATGGTGTGAGCTGGGGAATCTTGTTTCTCTCCAGTGAATAAATACTAAAAATATGATTGGACTCTGCACCTTTTCCTCTTTGCACTCTAACATTTGGATACTTTCCCCACATCTCCTCTCAGTGTACAGTTCAAGTCATCATGCAGCATGAACATGGTCTGCAGGGCTGCTTGTCTCTTCCCAGTTGGGTCACTGGGCAGCTCTCCAGTGGTGACTGTCCAAGCAAATCTACTGTTTAGACACCGTGATCCTGACAGGAAAAAGATTTTTCCAGGTTTGTCATGCTCACAGACAACACATGCAGGGCAATACCCCTGGGCCACTCCACTTCACTGCCCTGCAGAGAGGAAAATACTAAAAGGTGGGCGGTGCTAATTAAAAGGAATAATCAGAAATTCAGCCCATTTTACTCTTGCTCAGTTGATCCAGACTTAAATCTCTCAGCCTCACATGGTAAAGACCAACCACTATTAAAGTTATACGGACAGACGTTGATGTAAAAAGCTTCCTAATGCTGCATCGCTGTATTCACTTATTGATCTAAGTGTTATCAGTTTGATCTTACTGTCAGCCCCACAGCATACTAACCTGCTTCCCAATTCCATTCTCATAGCTCAGGTCCTTTGACTTCTGTTTGGAGACGTTTCCCAGTGACCAAGTAGCATAGCTGCATGGTAGTTCTATATCATGGATGAGTACTCTAGGCCCTTTTATTTTCGCTTTGAGGTGGTGGAGCTGAATTTGGGCTATGGAAGGTGTTATGTTGGCCAAGAAGTGCTGTATACAAATGTAAGGTGACATGATTTATATATCACAGGATGGGGAGGAAAGATTGTCCCATAGTTCAGACTCTAGAGTAGAATGAATCGTTTACGATGAATAATTT